GGCGTGCTTGTCCACATTTACATTACATTACATTACATTTAAGTCATTTAGCAGACGCTCTTATCCAGAGCGACTTACAAATTGGTGCATTCACCCTATAGCCAGTGGGTTAACCACTTTACAATTATTATTATTTATTTATTTTTATTTTTTTTTGGGGGGGGGGGGGGCTAGACGGATTACTTCATCCTATCCCAGGTATTCCTTAAAGAGGTGGGGTTTCAAATGTCTCCGGAAGGTGGTGAGTGACTCCGCTGTCCTGGCGTCGTGAGGGAGCTTGTTCCACCATTGGGGTGCCAGAGCAGCGAACAGTTTTGACTGGGCTGAGCGGGAACTGTGCTTCCGCAGAGGAAGGGGAGCCAGCAGGCCAGAGGTGGATGCACGCAATGCCCTCGGTTGGGTGTAGGGGCTGATCAGAGCCTGAAGGTACGGAGGTGCCGTTCCCCTCACTGCTCCATAGGCAAGCACCATGGTCTTGTAACGGATGCGAGCTTCAACTGGAAGCCAGTGGAGTGTGCGGAGGAGGGGGGTGAAGTGAGAGAACTTGGGAAGGTTGAACACCAGACGGGCTGCGGCATTCTGGATGAGTTGTAGGGGTTTAATGGCACAGGCAGGGAGCCCAGCCAACAGCGAGTTGCAGTAATCCAGACGGGAGATGACAAGTGCCTGGATTAGGACCTGTGCCGCTTCCTGTGTAAGGCAGGGTCGTACTCTCCGAATGTTGTAGAGCATGAACCTGCAGGATCGGGTCACCGCCTTGATGTTAGCGGAGAACGACAGGGTGTTGTCCAGGGTCACGCCAAGGCTCTTCGCACTCTGGGAGGAGGACACAACAGAGTTGTCAACCGTGATGGCGAGATCATGGAACGGGCAGTCCTTCCCCGGGAGGAAGAGCAGCTCCGTCTTGCCAGGGTTCAGCTTGAGGTGGTGATCCGTCATCCATACTGATATGTCGGCCAGACATGCAGAGATGCGATTCGCCACCTGGTTATCAGAAGGGGGAAAGGAGAAGATTAGTTGTGTATCGTCAGCGTAGCAATGATAGGAGAGGCCATGTGAGGATATGACAGAGCCAAGTGACTTGGTGTATAGGGAGAAAAGGAGAGGGCCTAGAACTGAGCCCTGGGGGACACCAGTGGTGAGAGCACGTGGTGCGGAGACAGCTTCTCGCCACGCCACTTGGTAGGAGCGACCGGTCAGGTAGGACGCAATCCAGGAGTGAGCCGCGCCGGAGATGCCCAGCTCGGAGAGGGTGGAGAGGAGGATCTGATGGTTCACAGTATCAAAGGCAGCAGACAGGTCTAGAAGGACAAGAGCAGAGGAGAGAGAGTTAGCTTTAGCAGTGCGGAGAGCCTCCGTGACACAGAGAAGAGCAGTCTCAGTTGAATGACCAGTCCTGAAACCTGACTGGTTTGGATCAAGAAGGTCATTCTGAGAGAGATAGCAAGAGAGTTGGCTAAAGACGGCACGCTCAATAGTTTTGGAAAGAAAAGAAAGAAGGGATACTGGTCTGTAGTTGTTGACATCAGTGGGATCGAGTGTTGGTTTTTTGAGAAGGGGTGCAACTCTCGCTCTCTTGAAGACGGAAGGGACATGGCCAGCGGTCAAGGATGAGTTGATCAGCGAGGTGAGGTAGGGGAGAAGGTCACCGGAGATGGTCTGGAGAAGAGAGGAGGGGATGGGGTCAAGCGGGCAGGTTGTTGGGCGGCCTGCAGTCACTAGTAGCAAGATTTTATCTGGAGAGAGAGGGGAGAAAGAAGTCAAAGCATAGGGTAGGGCAGTGTGAGCAGGACCAGCAGTGTCATTAGACTTAACAAACGAGGATCGGATGTCGTCAACCTTCTTTTCAAAGTGGTTGACGAAGTCATCCACAGAGAGGGAGGAGGGGGGGGGGGGGGATTCAGCAGTGAGGAGAATGTGGCAAAGAGCTTCCTAGGGTTAGAGGCAGATGCTTGGAATTTAGAGTGGTAGAAAGTGGCCTTAGCAGCAGAAACAGATGAAGAAAATGTAGAGAGGAGGGAGTGAAAAGATGCCAGGTCGGCAGGGAGTTTAGTTTTCTTCCATTTCCGCTCAGCTGCCCGGAGCTCTGTTCTGTGAGCTCGCAATGAGTCATCAAGCCACGGAGCTGGAGGGGAGGACCGAGCCGGCCGGGAGGATAGGGGACACAGGGAGTCAAAGGATGCAGAAAGGGAGGAGAGGAGGGTTGAGGAGACAGAATCAGGAGATTGGAGGGAGAAGGATTGAGCAGAGGGAAGAGATGATAGGATGGAAGAGGAGAGAGTAGTGGGAGAGAGAGAGCGAAGGTTGCGGCGGCGCGTTACCATCTGTGTAGGGGCAGAGTGAGTAGTGTTGGAGGAGAGCGAGAGAGAAAAGGATACAAAGTAGTGGTCGGAGACATGGAGGGGAGTTGCAGTGTGATTAGTAGAAGAGCAACATCTAGTAAAGATGAAGTCAAGCGTATTGCCTGCCTTGTGAGTAGGGGGGGACGGTGAGAGGGTGAGGTCAAAAGAGGAGAGGAGTGGAAAGAAGGAGGCAGAGAGAAATTAGTCAAATGTAGACGTAGGGAGGTTGAAATCCCCCAAAACTGTGAAGGGTGAGCCATCCTCAGGAAAGGAACTAATCAAGGCGTCAAGCTCATTGATGAACTCTCCAAGGGAACCTGGAGGGCGATAGATGACAAGGATATTAAGCTTAAATGGGCTAGTGACTGTGACAGCGTGGAATTCAAATGAGGAGATAGACAGATGGGTTAGGGGAAGAATTGAGAATGACCACTTGGGAGAGATGAGGATTCCTGTGCCACCACCCCTCTGACCAGATGCTCTCGGGGTATGCGAGAACACATGGTCAGACGAGGAGAGAGCAGTAGGAGTAGCAGTGTTTTCAGTGGTAATCCATGTTTCCGTCAGCGCCAGGAAGTCGAGGGACTGGAGGGTAGCATAGGCTGGGATGAAGTCAGCCTTGTTGGCGGCAGAACGGCAGTTCCAGAGGCTGCCTGAGACCTGGAACTCAAGGTGTGTGGTGTGTGCAGGGACCACCAGGTTAGAGAGGCAGCAGCCACGCGGTGTGAGGCGTTTGTGTAGTCTGTGCGGAGAGGAGAGAACAGGGATAGGCAGAGGCATAGTTGACAGGCTGCAGCAGATGGCTACAATAATGCAGAGGAGATCGGAATGAAATTAACTAAACATCTGGGAAAGGAGAGAGCAGGCCTCCCTCACCAAAAAAATAAATAAATAAATATAACTCTCCCAACTTCCACCTCAGAAACTATAATTGTTTCACTGAACCACCCGAATAAAACTCTCCCAACTTCCACTTTAGAAATTAGAATTGTTGTAAACTACAGCAGACTGTTATCAGTAGCTGTAATTAAGTACAGCAGCTACCAACCACCTAACGTTAATGCCTCGGATAATGAGGTTAGAAAAACAGCTGAATAGTGGCAGCTAGCTGGCTCAATCACAGGTACTCTTAAGCATGAAATAACATTGGAAACAGCTAACCACAGTTGCTAAAAGTTACCAGTAGCTACCCGCTAGCCAGCTAGCTTTGTTGGTCCAAGTAGTGGGTAAGCTAGCCTCGTGCTTCGCCGGGGTCCGCCGAATACACTACTTACCTACAATAATTACCTACAATAACCTACAATAACCTACAATAACTACCTGAGTAAGCTACCTATAATACCTAACTACAATACCTACCTACAATCTAAATACACGCAGTCATGGGTGAACAGGGAGTACAGGAGGGGGCTGAGCATCCACCCTTGTGGGGCCCAAGTGTTGAGGATCAGCGAAGTGGAGATGTTGTTTCCTACCTTCACCACCTGGGGGCGGCCCGTCAGGAAGTCCAGGACCCAGTTGCACAGGGCGGGGTTCAGACCCAGGGCCTCGAGCTTAATGATGAGATTGGAGGGTACTATGGTGTTGAATGCTGAGCTATAGTCAATGAACAGCATTCTTACATAGGTATTCCTCTTGTCCAGATGGGATAGGGCAGTGTGCAGTGTGATGGCGATTGCATCGTCTGTGGATCTATTGGGGCGGTAAGCAAATTGAAGTGGGTCTAGGGTGACAGGTAAGGTAGAGCTGATATGATCCTTGACTAGTCTCTCAAAGCACTTCATGATGACAGAGGTGAGTGCTACGGGGCAATAGTCATTTAGTTCAGTTACCTTTTCTTTCTTGGGTACAGGAACAATGGTGGCCACCTTGAAGCATGTGGGAACAGCAGACTGGGAAAGGGAGAGATTGAATATGTCCGTAAACACACCAGCCAGCTGGTCTGTGCAAGCTCTGAGGACGCGGCTAGGGATGCCATCTGGGCCGGCAGCCTTGCAGGGGTTAACATGCTTAAATGTCTTACTCATGTCAGCCACAGAGAAGGAGAGGCCACAGTCCTTGGTAGTGGACCTCGTCGGTGGCACTGTGTTATCCTCAACGCGGGCGAAGAAGGTGTTTAGCTTGTCTGGAAGCGAGACGTTGGTGTCGGCGACGTGGCTGGTTTTCCATAGTTGGCAATATAATTTACTTTTAGATTTGTATAATTTTCATTTAGATTTAGATATCATTTTAAAGTTCCTAAGTAAGCATACTATATACAGGAAATATTTAAAGTCAGTTCCAATACCATATTTACATGTGCAGGGATACTGGATTGATGGAGGTAGATACAGTGAGGGAAAAAAGTATTTGATCCCCTGCTTATTTTGTACGTTTGCCCACTGACAAAGACATGATCAGTCTATACTTTTAATGGTAGGTTTATTTGAACAGTGAGAGACAGAATAAAAACAAAAAATCCAGAAAAACACATGTCAAAAATATAATAAATTGATTTGCATTTTAATGAGGGAAAAAAATGCCGTCTCCAGATTTGCAAATCGTTACACACCGCCCATCTCTTCCTTAGCTTCTCGCCGACCTCTCCCCCTTCCAGAAAGGCATCTACGTAATTTCCCGTGTTGATCTACAGTATTACGGAAGTGACGTTGCCAACATTTTCAAATCGTCGGGCGCGTTCATTGAGCTAGCTAAATTATAAAAGAACGGGCGCTTTCTAAAGTAAGTTTCTCCGTTTTCATCATTAAGTACAATATACGGTAAGGAAGCTTTGTTTTATTGCTACATTAATCAGCTATGTCAGAATATTACCCATTCAGTGTTTTATTCGGTGGAGGTGTAAATTAGAGTTAATAGCTACTTCTCTCCCTGCTGACAATTCTGGAGCTGGGACACACTCTTTTCATGCCACTTACATACAGCTACGACCGGAAGTGATTTTCATAGAAGGTTAGGAGAGCATTTTCGCTAACCCTTTTCCAAACCTTAACCTATTTATCCTAACTTGCTACGTTAGTTCTTCTAACCTGCTGCTTAAGTTCTCCTAACCTGTTATGAAAACGTCACTTCTGGTCGTAACTGTATTGAAGGGGCGTGAAAAAGTATATTCTGGAGTTTATAGCCAGTCACTAGCCAGCTGTTGGCTAGATATATTTATTGCTGAAAGTTGCCTTTTTTCGTTACAACAGTTTGATGGCATCGAAAATTCCTAGATGCGGACAGAGTAAGTTTAAGTTAATATTTTCCTTTACTTCAGTCTCTACATTGTCATTCACACAACTCGCCTCCACCTCAAGCCTCCTGGATCGCAGTATTTTCGGTGTTTGTTTTGTGATTCAACAAAAATGCAACTAGTAAACATGTTGGCTCATAGCCTGGAAACCCGACATTGAATTTCATTGAATTCTAGGTCTAGCAGAAATAAATCTTTGGCTCAGGACAATTCCTCTCACAACTACAAGCCATGTTACATAAAATTATATTTTAACTTTACAGGTTGTCGGTGCAGTTTGTCCTTTTGCAGATAGGAATGTGAGACATATCCACATTAAAGTATAATTAAATAACGGTTTCAAGGCTCTGGTAGTGCATTCTGTTTTCTATAACCTGAAGCCTGCACATAAAATGAAACTTGCCACAGTCGTACACGTGTTTACATGGTTAAGTTGTTTTTAATTATACGTTCCTGTGGATATATTGTCTTCCATTCCTACTTGCAAAAGGACCAATTGCAAGGACAACCGGTAAAGTAAGTTAAAATATCATTTTAGTCAACATTCTGGCTTGTAGAGGTCTTGAGCTGAATCTTTCCTGAGCCAAATGCTAATTTATGGCCCATGTTGAATGCAATGAAATTCATCATCTGTCTCCAGGCTACTTGGATCATCTTCATTTGGCATTTTGTTCTTTATCAATTTCAGGTGTGCGACCTGCTGGCAGTGCTGCAGAAATGAAGAGGGCGGCCAAGAAATACGATTTCAAAGAGACAGCTGTACCGCCAGACTTCAATTTCTTTCCAAAAACTGTTATTCTCAAGCCTCTCAATGAGAACGTACCAAGGTGACTAACTTTAAATTTACAATGGGAAGATAACGAAGGCTATGTATAGGCAAGATGTAAAGACTAACTACCTTTTTCTTTTCTTTTCAGAAAGTATGTTGTAGCTAAAGTGCATAAAGGGTAAGATGTCCCTTTTTATAAGTTGGGAGAAATACATTAGAAAATTACATTCTCATAGCATTCTGTTTTGATAGCCCTTCCACCAGATATGGACAGCAGCAGTCAGAACTCAAGGGCCAGAATCAACTTTTAGTGGAAGCCAATGAGGAACTGCAGAAAAACCTTACAGAAAGACAGGTAAGTTTGTTAAAGGGATCATTAGCTACTTTCCAAATGTAGGCTATATGTGAACATAATGCACTAGGGTTTTTCTGTGGGCTGTTGAATGGAACGTCTTAGGAAGGAGAAGAGTCAATGTTCTCTCTGTTTGGTTCAGGGCTATCTTGTGCACTCTTTCCCTGTAGTCTGTGTTAGTTTGTAAACAACACAATTCTTTTTAATTTTGCAGCAAAAAGTTGCCCAGCTGGAGCAACGATACAGTGACCTCCAAGGAATCAATGCAGACATCCAGAAACAACTGAAGGACTGCCATGCGCTACTAGTCGCTGGAAATATTGATCCAGGTAATCATTCGATGACAGGAATTGGTTCACAGCTACAAGTTACACAGGTTCAGAGTGTTTATTTGGATCGTTTGGTGAGCTTTCTAAAGATTGCTTTAATCTTTTTTTCTTCTGACTTTATTTCTCAGTTTTGGGAGAGAAAATTGGAGAAACTGCACAGCAAAATGAGGATAAACAAAGAGAGGTGGTGGTAAGGACTTGTTTTGTTAGCCATATTGTTGAACTCCAGTCTTAGACTCAAATGTTACTCAGGTCCTTGTTTGCAGGAATCTGGCTTTGTAATTGTATTTAGTGATGTCTTTCAAATTGCTCTCCAACAATGCAGAACGTATCCCAAGATCTGTTGCGTGAACTGCAGACATTTGGTGACATGGCAACAGAACAAAGTGCACAACTAACAGTAAGTTCCATATGTTTGACATGAAAGCAGAGTTACCGGTAATCCTGTATGCCAGTCTGTTCTATCTAGAGCTCGTTTGCAATGCTACTTGTTTGTTAATTTCCAGGAAGTTCAAAAGATCATGAAGGCTCTCACCGATTCTCGGGAGCATCTGGTGCAGGAGAGGGAGAATTTCTCCTTGGAAGTTGAAGAAATGGAGAAGGCTCTTGAGGAAGCAGAGCAGCTATTATTGGAGTAGATACTGTGTGTGTGTGTGTGCTTGCTTTTAATGTAAGTATAAATAAACATTGAGTCTTTCGACTAACTTAATTTTGGTAATTAAACTCGCAAACTGAAAGTTGTTTTCACTGTCATATTTTATTTATCTGGAAGACTGCACATTTTAAGTTATTTAGCTTGAAGAAACAATTCATTCAATCTGACACATATATTGATTTCATTAATGTATATTAAACTTTGCAATTTATCTCATTTGGTAATTCAGATCCGTTGTCGTAAAAACAAAAAAAAACGTTTATTTTATAAAATAAAAGCCGCCTACCGGAAGTTAGACGCAACTCTACACACACTGCTCGCAGATTGACTACACTCACCAAAGAACCCGTTTTTGTCGGGATAGACTGAAGTAAGAAACCATAGCTACATGCTTTATTTTGTATCCTAAATACCTGTGTTGAATGACTGCATAACTGGCAACATACTGGCTGCAACTAGATTACCTTGTTAGCCTAGCTTGCCATTGGGCATTTGTAGCCATGTGTACATGTAGCTACTGTTAAAAAGGATTAGTCACATTCACAGGGTCGCACATATAATCGCAGTGTACAGTGAAATCTTATGCTCCAACAGTGCAGGTAACATAAATTAGTGCTAATATATACACATTTCCAACTAGCGATGATAAATGTCCATCGGGAGAGCAGCAGGGGAGAAGTGAATGAAAGAATAATATACAGATTTACAGCTGTAACAATGATACATTTCCGTGGGGGGCAGGGTACATGTTCGTAGAATAGCCGTAGGGGAAGCAGGTAGCTGCCTAGTGACGATTCAGCAGCCTGATGGTCTGGAGGTAGAGGCTATTGGCCAGTGACAGTTGTTGCCATGATACTGCCCGCGTCTGAGTGATGGATGCGGGGAGAATAGACCATGGCTCGGGTGACAGGTCCTTGATGATCTTCTTGGCCTTTCTGCGACACCTGGTGTAATGTAGGTATCCTGGAGGGCAGGCAGTGAGCACCCAATGATGGTGCATTCGGCTGAGCGTACCACCCTCTATAGAGTTGCGGGCGGTGGAGTTGCCGTACCAGGCCGTGATGCAGCCCGACAGATGGGAACAGATGCTGGCTTTCTCGGCTAACTACCTACCTGGGATGTGTTATTTATGTTAGCAGAGGTGCATTCTTGCCTACCTGGCTAGCTATCTTCGTAGCTAGCTTGGTCATTCCTATGCGGTGCCATTTGGACCTCAAAACCTTTAAGGGCCATTAATAAATATGGTATTCTGTCAAAAGGACAATTGACATTCAAAAACCCATATTGGTCAAGCTCAGGCACTTAACATTTTTGGGTGCATTTTCCAATTTGTTAGGTGCATAATTCTAGCAGGGTGGACATTTTGAGCCTAAATTAGCCAAAACTCTGTGTGAGCAAGATTGAGCTAGCATAATGGGGAACAGTTGAACAGGATTTAATCTTCTCTATCAAACATTTTAACATTTAGAAAAATATTTATTCTCTCGTTTAGCCTAACGGGGTGAAAATTTGAGTGGGACATACAGACTAACAACATGAAACATGGACAAATAGATTAAATTTAGTGTTTTAGAATTATTTAGCTTTGCGCCGTAGTTTTCCCACCAAGGAAATTATAAAACTTAATGAATGTTGTGTTATTGTAGGAAGGGGTTGTTTTCTTAAATATGAACTGATTTTTCCTGTGGACAGAAAAGGCACCGCCTAGTAGGAATGACACAGCTACTTAAGCCAGGGTAAAATGGTAGAGGCAAAGATAACTAGCTAGTTAACCCCTTTCATCTGTGGTAGAGGGAATATTTTCTTTCATTAATTTAGCTTTTTTATTTTAAGTCGATGCCACCATCCAAATGCAACTTTGCCTATATTGTGTGGTTTGTATTGTTAAAGCATTGATATCTTAGTTTGCTAGCTAGCTATCCACTTTGTCATGGGTAAGATGGAAATAGCCTATTGCATTTGACACTGTCTCCAAATGTAGACTTGGCAAAGCTAGAAATGCTAGACATGCCAATAATTCATTTGTGAATGAGACTGAGACTGATGTGCCACTGCCAATTTCGTATAATTATATGCTGGATTTTGGCAGGAATACATGCTATGGAAATACCATATAATCACAGTTAACCAATTTATAGCCTATTCCAATGTCAAACTTTTTCAGTTGTATGTGTTTTTCTCTTAAATGTCTTCAATGGGGTTTCTCGTTTATACCTTTGAACCTGCTCTTTTCACATTATCATAAAGCAGTGACCACTTTCTCTCTCCAGCCATTTTTCTAACAGCTGCATGTAGTGTCTGAAAGGGGGAGGAAGTTTCAATATCAATTCACCCACTAACTCGGCTTGAAGCCCTTATTCTTGTTCGCTGTTGGTTTCCTACATTCCTCATACATTGTCCCTTGCTTCCAATTCTTTGGCAATGCAAACTTTAGAAGGGAGCGCTAATTTAACGACACCTCTGACGCACCACCCAATACCTCCAAAATGACCTTTTTTGGGCCCATGTAATGAGAGGAAGAGAAGGAAGGGTGAAACTTGTTTTAATTTAATGCTGCCTCACCCTACTTTATGACAAACAACATAAATCACAAAAGAATGGCTCTGGCTGTGAGGGTCAGCTCAGCTCTGGTATTTCTATTAGTTCTAAGTGGCTGTGCTAGTGGAAACACAGCTTGGCCATTCTAATTGTGGGACACTGTTTGTTGTGTGCCCCAAACTAGTTTGTTGGTGGAAGTGTTTCTTTCTAGTATTAACTCAGTATGCCTACTTTACATCATATGAACGTGACCAACAGCTCCCTAGCTAAGAGTGTTTGCTGTTCTGTGTGGGAAATAAGGCCTAATGGTTGAGAGATTGGGTCAGAGAACAGAAAGTAATAAAGCACAATAATAATCACACAACACATATCTTTTTCCCAGCTTTTTCTCAAATATAACTAGGGCTGGGAATTGCCAGGGGCCTCATGATATGATATTACCACGATACTTAGGTGTTGATACGATATGTATTGCGATTCGATACTGTGATTTTGTTGCGATTTTATGTTCCAAACATATTGCTTGCCATATGTCTGCTGCAGAGGGGCAAGAGAGAGCCATGAGAAAAATGAGTTTTCATCAGTCATGGAAGTTAAGTACTGAAAACGAATTGGTTCCCTATTTAAAAAGAAATTGGAGAACAAGCTATGAAGGAAAAATACTTGGTACAGGTATAGCCCACTAGCACAAAAATAATATTCAGATATGTAACTGTATAAATGTTTTCCCCCATCATGAAATATAACCTCCAGGTACAAGATGCTCTTCAATAACATTGAAACTGGGTTTCTATTTTGGACTAAATCTTTGATTAGTATTCATACACATGAGTTTAGCCTAACTTTGTAAAGAACCAGTGAGAAAGAACACATGTTTTTGTTGATGCAGACATTGAGACATGATCCTTGCTCTATAGCCTCTTTCCCCTTAGGGCCTAGGGTAGTGGAATGGTTCTAGTACAGCCATGTGGCTTCTCCTCGCTCCCCCACATCATTAAAAGAGAATCCCTGAGTCTGAGGCCCAGAAAGCCCCAGTGCGTCTGTTTGCCCAAGCACAGACGCCTCAGGATTTACTACGGGAGTAACTTATACAGATGGGGGTCTTCCTCCTGGGGTTACACACTATCCAGTTCCCAACACTGCTGCTGGATGGCCCCATTTTCCACCCCCTCTAGATAAAGATGTTAGGATGAGAATGGCCTGCCTATTACATAACAGACTGATAGTTGAGAAAACAGAATGGGGTAGACCTAATTTTATATCCTGCTCTGAACATAAGTCTGAAAACTGGGTCTTTGGGCATGGATAGGTCTACTTTTGTCTCCACTTCAGTCTCTGAAAGAGCTGGAAAGGAAACAACCAGCATCTGCTGAGAAACAAAACGAGTGGATTATGCTTGCCACTCAATGGATGAAGTAGTTTAGTTTATTAAATGGTCAACATTGAATTCTTATATACATCTAATGTTAAACGGTAGTGATAATGGTTGCGATGCTTTGCATAAAGTGTTGTTTTTTGCAGTTGAATTTAGGCTATATCGGCTTAAATATGTGACTTAAGAGGAATGCTGATCCCTTCATTTCTTCTAGAGATGTTCCCTTATCCACTCATGTCACTGAAATATGTATTGTACAGTATTTTTGTTATATAGCCTAGCCTTCCAACCAAGGTTAGAGAATGCGGTGCTCCACAGAGAATCCCAGAATACTCCACTGATTAGAACTCTACTTTGTCAATGCCATGTTTTTATCAGGGATTCAGGAAGCCAGTGGAATGAGATCATATGCTGTCAGAACTGGAGGCCAGAGCACAGCGATTAGGCTACATTCTGGCATGGTCTGAGAATTCCCAGTAAGTACTTTTTAATAATTAATGCACACAAGCCAGTCACAACCTAATAGAGGCCCAAAGGTAGGCTCAGAATTTGCAACATTGTTTTATTGTTTAGCCTAATGGAGTATGTTTGTTTGTATTTTACTCATTAAAACATTTTTCATTCAAAATGATAGACTTCTAGAATGGTCACAGAATTTAGCAGTTTTCAACAATTCCCACAAGGGGGTGCTCAAATGCTAACTAAACAAAATAGTCTGTCTAATAAGCTATGGTAGAAGGAGAAACACTGCTATGATTTCCTATTTCTGGTGGGGAGGAGAAAATAATTTGCCTAGCTTGTAAATATTTTTGCCAATGGAATCCTCAACCAATACATTTTTATTTGTTCTTCATGAACACCAAGTTAACTGAACCAACAAAAGAAATATGTGGATAGAAAAACAGATGTGTTCAGCCCCGAGTATTTTATGGAGCAAGGGACTCAAGAAAATAATCTGCAAAAGGCATAAACTCAGAGATATACTCCTGACTGGCTGTAGGGACTGTGAGGGACTTATTAAGTGAGAGGAGCACATCCTGGCTGGTGGATAGGGTTGGGTTGGGTTGGGGGGGGGGGGGATTCAAGCTCAGTGTCCAGGTGCTCCGAAGAAAAATGGGATCCAAATGATGAAGTATGTCTAAGGATGGTTCGTCTTTTTATATGATGGAAGTTGGAAGAGGGATTGTGTCTTATTGTGGAATGTCAAACGTATTAAAATGCCTGTAGCATAAACAATAAATGCATTTTTGAATTATCAGAGGAAGCGTAAATCACCACCAGAGTCACTTA